AACCCCCCAGCCCCCCTTTTCCGGTGGGCAGCTCTGTCAGCCTGCAGATCAAAGCTGCAGCCAGTCAAGCGAAGGGAAGGAGACGTGTTGTCTAACCCCACTCTCTAAGAACTGAAAGGGGCTTGAGTATTTATTCAGTGACTTCTGGTTCAGCTCGGAAGCTGGGTTTGTGTCAGGCACGAACGGTGTTACAACCAGCTTCCTGCCTTCTCTTGAGCAAGCTCTGCTCGGCTGTGGGTGTCCGGACGGCGACCAAAGCATTTCTCGTCCCTTCTCTCTGAGGACCCAGGTTTCCCCGCGGCGGCCCTGCCCCTCACTGAGGGCAGCAGAGCACTCGTTTCTGTCTTCTGAGCACAGGAGGGCACCGCAGCCTCGGCAGAGACTGTCCCTCCAGCTCATCTGCTGCAGGGGCTCCAGCAGGCCCGGGGGTCCTCAGAGACAGAGGGGCAGCCCCTGACCAAAGACGACACAGCTGGCACTTTAAAGCACACACAGCAGGTGTGGCGCCCAGGGTGCCCGATGGTGCTGCCGTGCAGAGAGCTTTCTCGCTGCCCTTCCCCGAGCAGGGGCCCAAAGTCCCGAGGACGTCCCGTCCGCGCGCTGCCCACGGACTCCCCGAGTCTGACCGCGTGACTGCCCTCCATCGGCGCCCCCACCCCACCCCTCTCCCCGGGACGGGTGAGCTGTGCTCACTCTTCCCTTTTGTCTGTGTGTCTGTGTGTGAGTGTCCCCGAGCCCCACCCCCACACTTCCTGGATTTGGCGAAGAATATGTTGTTGCCCTTTTATAGAGAGAAAACCGAGGCCACCAGCATGGAAGGGGGAGAGTCTAGAGTAGAACCCGGGCCTGATGCCAAAGCTGCCTTCTCACCTGTGCCTCCCTCAGTTCACACATCCTTTTTTCTAGCTTTGTTGTCCCCCCAGAAACCAAAAAACCCAGCTATTTTCTGACCAAAATGTGTTTCGTAACAAACCATCTGGTGCCTTTCCACACGGAACTGGCAGGAGCCTCCTTGCTTGCTGCCTCGTTGCTATTGATTTCCGTGAAAATGGAATTGTTTGAAGACTGTTCATTCGGACGGTTAAACAAAACCAAACTCTAAGCACCTGGACACTCTGACCCGGGTCGGGACGCACCAGCAGCCGGCTGTTCTCAGGGTGCTCCTTCCTCCTCCCCCTTCGCCCCCACCGGGCTCCCCGCATCCTGACACCCGGCCAAGCTGTCAGTACCTTCTCCGGCCCGAGGTGCCTCCCGGGCGGCTTTGCTAACCTCAAGTGAGACACTGCTGGTAGTTGGAGCAGGTTTCACCAGCCCAGGAAAAACACACCATTTCTTAGAATCTCCTTATCTAAGCGCTTAAACCAAAATACAAAGACCAAAGTGCCTGGGTGAGGGGTGGGGTGGGATTTGCCGGGTCTTTATCAGGATAGAACAGCCTTTCCCTGCCCAGCTCCTATACCCCCGCTGCCCTTCCCAGACCTTGGTATCGGCCCCTGCATTTGCCACGAGGCATTGAGGTTGGGCCTGGCACACGCCGTCCTTGGTACCAGGGTCCGTCCAGGAGGCCCGAGAAAGGCCGGGCTGTGAGTGGGGTGTGGCCTCCATTGTGGTCTCTGGCCACCAGCAGTGGGTGTGCGCCCTGTGTGTGCACAGATAAGTCTTATTGTGCTTTTCTTTGTGTTGCTGTCAAGGAATTTCTAATGAGGAAAAGGATAAGTAATAAATGTTCTCTTTTTGAAATACAAAGAGCTCGTGGATGGAGTGGCCTAGGGCCGCGTGGGAGCAGTGCCTGCACTCCAGGGGCTGGAGCAGCAGTGGCCACGGGCCCAGAAGTGGGAGATAAGGTCTTTGGCCCCAGTAGGACCCCCTTTTCACCAGCAGGTGGGGATGTGATAAGGTCATCTCTGGACAGATCAGCATGTCAGCCCCGAAGAGTCTGGGCTTCCTAACCAGGGTATGTGAACCCCCAGAATTTGCATACGATTGTGTGTTTCTATGTACATTTTTCTTGGGGAGGGTGTCGTCCATCATTTCCATCACATACTCAAGTGGGCCCCCCACATTTATTCGTTTGACAGACTGTGCTGAACACAAACCAGCCTGGGGCGCAGTGCTGGGCTGGCAGTCCAGACAGGTCCAGTGGACTCGGTGTGTGGCTTGGGTGTGACGGG